CTCTCAGCAGCCTCCTGAACAAGGTGTCCGAGACTCAGAGGGACTCGGTCCCAGATCCCAGCACAGGGTTAGGATTGAAGGTTAGAGGCAAGACAACCTGGGACGGTGCTGTCTCCCCCGCCCCCTTGTACCTTACTTCAGCATGGGTCACGGTGGACCCCGTCAGCTTTCTGAGGTGACAACACAATGAACGCCGGCTGGCAGGCCACGGAGAGGAGACCCTCAAAGGGTCTCGGTGGTGTGGGCCATTCCAGGCTGCAGGGAAGCAGGGCAGACTCTCCTGGACTCGCACATTCCATTTTCCTTGTGGTGGTCGACGTGCTTGTGCCTGAAGATCGCAGATGATAGTATTTTGGGATCTAAGTTGCCCTAGGAGGGCACAAAAAAAAGAAAAGGCTTTACAGAGAAGTCGGAGGGAGGAAGTGTAAGCACACCCAGGGAAGGAGGTACAGTGGGAGAGGCAGTTAGGATTCCTGGACTGTCCAAGGAACTGTCAACTGGGCACCGGGTCCGTCCTCCCCGCACTCCCTGAAACCAGGCGGTCTCCCCAGAGGGCAACCCTGTGTACCTTGCTTAGCACAGAAACCTGGTTCTGGAGCAGAGCTTAAGCCTGAAGTAACCCTTGAGCAGAGGCCTGTCTGGACAAGGCCTCGGGGTGTCTCCGTTGCAGAGGGTGGCTGGGCCGCTGCCCCAGGGTGGGGGCAGAGTTGGAAGCTGAAGGGGTATGCTCACACCTCTGGGGTCCTTCTGCCACAAACTTTCGGCACTGGGAGCGCCAGCAGCCACTCCCCAACTGCAAGCACCTCCCCGTCTTTGGTTCTTCCGGCCCCTGCACTCAGGTCTGTGGGTCTGGAGCCAGAAGGCGGTGAAAGGCAGTTTCGCTTGGCCTGCCTGGCCCCCATCTGACCCTCCAGTCACGAGATGCAGGTGTGATCACCGGTGGTTTCGCAGTCTGACCTCAGGCAAGTTTCCACTTGTGAAAAATGAGGAGGATCTGACAGATGGCCCTCGAGGAAGCAGCTGGTGGTGGGACCTCTTCACCACTTGCCCGCCAGGGCTCCCAGCCCAGGTCCCCGGCATCTGCTCCCACGGCGCTCAGCTCACGCACGATTCAGCTCGCCCCGCCGTCTCTTCTTCCCTAGAGACCTTATGGCGCACTCCTAATTGGAGCACCATGTTTCTTAGGAAATAGGTGAGCAGAATCGCATAAGCTCGTTTTATTCTTTGACCTTATACTGTTCTGGGGCAGTTTTTTCAACATTGGGAAGGCATCAGATGCCCTAGAAATCTGACACACCCATCTGGGGCAAGGAGAAGACAAAGACTGACGGCAGAGCAGGGCCAGGAAACAACCTTCAGGGATACTCCACAGGCCACGGCCCAGCCAGGAGGTGTCCTTGGGCCATCCCCCTGCCGTTCACACCCGGCCACGGCCCCAAGGCCCACGGTGCCCTGCCCAACTGCCTCTTAGCACTGACTCAGTCCTTCCACTTCCCTACCCCAGGGCAAAGGGAAATTGTTTCCTTCGGAGTAAGGCAGCAGACTTTTCACTAAATGAGGATGTGAAGAGGTAGATAGAACATTATCCACTTGTTCTTAAAAGCTGTGGGCTAGGTGGTGCCTGGGTGGCTCAGTCGTTAAGCATCTGACTTTGGCTCAGGTCATATCCCAGGGTCCTGGGATGGAGCCTCCTGTCGGGTTCCCTGCTCAGCCGGCAGGCTGCTTCTCCCTCTCCTTCTGCCCATCCGCACCCCCATCCCATCCCCTGCTCGTGCTCTCTCTCAAGTAAATAAATCAAATCTTTTAAAAATTAAAAAAATAAAAACAAAAAATAAAAAAAAACCTGTGGGCTAGATGATGTCTGCCACGGTTCAATCAGGACAAATGGAAAAGAGGATTCTGGATTGAACACGGTTAACACCTCTGTCGGCCGCACTACCCCGCTGGACTCAGGGGGCCCACCAGGAAAGGCCAGGCATTCACTGAGGCAGCTCTCAGGCCTTGGGGAGCAAGGTAGGTAGAGGTGGGGACAGGTGGCCACGCTGGCCATGAAGGCAGGTGCCACCAAGGTCATGGACGGAGCTTAGGCAGGAGCACAGCCAACAAAGAGGAAGGCCCGAGGGTGGTCACAGGAGACCTGAGGTCCACGCCACTCTGCAGCCAGAGCGCCTAGCATGCTGCGCGCGGTCAGGCAGGGCTGGGGACTCCCGTCTCCTGGGGCCTTAGGAGAAACAGCCATTCATACCCCTGCCCCAGCACCAGTCTCGCCGGCCGGGTTCTGTCGCTGGGAACTGAGCCCCAACAGCAAGCAAACATAGGGGGCAGAGGGGTCCAGGAGATGGGACAACATGTATGTAGTCTGCAAAGACCAGGCTCCGAGTTGTTAAAACAAGCCCAGGATCTGGGGAGGCGGGGAGTGTTCCCGCCACTACGTTCCTGGCCACGGTCAGACCTGCAGGGTGGGAGCGGGGCTCTGGAAGGCCGCCCATTCTGCCCTGGAACAGCTGGGCACTTCTTAGTCCTTTCCTATACACGGCTCCGTTCTCTCTCTGGCAGAATTGAAAAACAAAACCAAAAACAATTCATTATTAAAAACTCAAATCCAAAACAAAGTACAGAGAATAGTGTAAAGGACGGGCTGTCTTCCTCACTCAGATTCAACAACCACCAACACATGGCCCATCACTTCTTATCTCTGAGCCCACTCACTCCTTGGTGACAATTTTAAGGACCAAATGGAGAAATGCCTGTTGGTTTATTATGAAGAATTGAGTGTTCTGGGTACCACTGTTTGGATGACTTATCACTGATCACCTAATTCCACACCCTGTCTTCCACAACAGGCTCCAGGCTCCGCTCCCGCTGGGGGCAGTCAGATGATCCAGCGTCGGACGGTGAGATACACACGACAGCCGGCTTCGAAGCTGCTTTTAAAAGTCTCACTGCAGGATGACACACGTGGGCACACACAGACACACCTGCACCTGTATCAGCCACAGGAAGTGATTTCATCAATACGATGAACTTAGTTCAACACAAGTGACTTTTTTTTTTTTTAAAGATTTTATTTTTAAGCCATCTCTACACCCAGCCTGGGGCTCGAACTTAGAACCCCGAGATCAAGAGTCACACGCTCTACCAACTGAGCCATCCAGACGCCCCAATGCAGGTGGCTTTTCAAGAGATTCTATGGAGATGAAGAGAGGCAGCTGAAGTCAAGGCAAATGAAACTGTTTTAACTGTGAATGTTTGGGAACACGGAAGCAAGATGCACAAAGCTGGCAGAAAGGGCATCTGTGACAAGAATGGGGTAAGAAAGGCGCCTGGGTGGCTCAGTGGGTTGAGCCTCTGCCTTCGGCTGAGGTCATGATCTCAAGGTCCTGGGATGGAGCTCTGCGTCGTCGGGCTCTCTGCTCAGCAGGGAGTCTGCTTCCCCCCAACCCCCGCCTGCCTCTCTGTGTACTTGTGATCTCTCTCTCTCTCTCCATCAAATAAATAAATAAATCTTTAAAAAAAAATGGAGTAAATAGCTGCACATTCCTTGACAAGCGGCCGGATTCTGCCAAAAGGGGTGAGGCTGGAGGGGCTTTCTGTTTCTCTGGCCACTTGGGAGTTCATTTTCTACTTAGTGCAAGAAACATGGTTCGAGGGTGTCAGGAAGGCCTGCTTTGGAGAGTAAAGAGGGGGGTTCTCTCAACTTGCTTACGGTGCTTGCTGTTTTGCTATACAAGAACCCCACTGCTTCTGCTTGTGGCAACCTGCCTAGTCTACAGGGAGGGGTCGGTGGGGCCCTGATGAACCCAGAGCCTCCTGAAGTCTGGTGGCCGGTGGTGGCCACGCAGGACTGGGGAGCAGGAGGCTTTCTAAAAAGACGCGTGGGTGTGTAAAAAGTCACCGAGCGGAGATGAGATGTGTGCAGCAAACCCGCTGGGAAAAGACCCACTAAGTCGAGACGGCAGAAAGGAACAAACCTTTGTGCGGCTGTCAGTTTCATCTAACGCAGGGCCCAGCAGAGACGCCTGTGTGAGGGCCGGTCGTGGACAGAAACTGAAGGGCAAACACGTTAGGGTGCTCCCGGACTCATCCGCCTTTTCGCTCTGCACCTTGGAGCACAGCAAGAACAGCAAACCCACCGCGCCAAGAACCCAGGGTGCTCTAGCAGCGGCTGTCCTAATCTCGGTGGCTTCAAAGACGTGAAGATTCGCTAAGGAAATAAAACCCTAACTTGCGATGGGCTCAGCACCGTTTATTCCGGGGGATTCCAGATCATTTCTCAACCCCGAAGAGGCGCTGGCTCTTGCACCGCTGCTGCGGCCCAGAGGCTGAGACAAAGAACCGCGGGAGGGAGCGCGGGCTAGAGGCCTCAGGACCCGGAAGGTGAGGGGCAGTGAGCAGAGGATGATGCCTGGAGGATGCCACGTGGCAGGACTGGCGTCTCAGTCTGGGCTGTGGCTTCTGCGGGTCTGGATGTCCTTGCCCTGAGCAGAGTGCTGTGTTGTCTTACCTTGCAGGACTTCCCCGTTACTCCTGTATCCTGCACAGGACCATAACCGAGGCCTCACAGCCACCTTTTCTGATGCTGGCCCGAAGGGCTCTCTGGTCATTTCAAAAATCCTTTATTGGAGTGGATGTGAACAGACAATGTGTTCCAATGCAGCCAGTAAACTACCTTGCTGAGTAGTAAGATCCATGGCCCCCTAACTATGCAGTGTTGAGGATGAGGGCATGGTTGCCATGAGCTTCTGACCACGTATCCGAGGACTGGATGGGGGAACCCCAGGTGTGTCATTAGCTCATCTCAACCTTACTATGAGGTAGTGGTGTTCCTTGTACCATTTACAGACCAGAAAACAGAGGCTCAGAAAGCCCAGGTGTGGTCAAGGTCACAAGACTGGTATGTGTGCAGGGAGGGACTGGCTCCCAGTCTTCGGAACACTACCTTCCCCTAAACCTGTCCATGTTACTCAGGACACCCTGACAAACATACCCAAAAGCAAACAGTGGGGTTTACTACTTTATTACTATTAAGTTTGGAATTTAAATGTTCCTAAGGAGTATACAAAAGTCTTCTGCAGTCTTCTTTGACTGACAAAAGAATTATTGAGGTGGGGGCACATCTTAAACTGACTTGAAACTTTGGGAAGAGGAAACAAATATCTCTAATTCAGCAATAATACATGCTTATTTTCAGCCTAACCTTACACTAGCAAGTGGAAATTCCGTTCAGAGAGAGGAAGAGGGCAGGAGAGAAGCAGCAGCGGATCAAGAACAAAACTGCCAGGGACTTGGCATTCCATCCACCCTCGTGAGCCTTCCTCCCTTGGTCTCTGGGGCAAGGCTGACTCCAGAACAGGCCCCAGAAATCCACCTAGGGTGGCCGGCTCTCCTCCCGGGGGCCAGTGCAGGCAGGCTGGGACGTGCGGGCCTGGCTGGCGGCCTTCGCAGGAGAACAAAGGGAAGGCCAGTGCTGTCCTCATCTTCACCAGCCTCTCGCAGGACCAACTTTTATTTTTATTTTTTTCAAGGACAAACTTTTAAAAGTAAAATGGATGAAACCACGTGAGGTCAAGATACAAAGACAGAAATTCAACGTAGAAAAAAGACCTTGCTGGGAAACAGCTGGATGAGAAACACCGGAAACGTTTCACAGACGCACCAGAAGCTCACATTGTAAACGGGATTAAGCTGCTATTGGTTTCCCGCATTAACATCAGGGTTTCATTTTGCTCAGCCGGAGATCTCGCTCGATTTCAAACTGCCTGTGGTCCACTCGGTCTAGAAAAGCCTTCCGTTCAATGTACCTGGAAGAAAATATAAGATGTTTGTGAGCAGACTTCTGTAGGAGAAAACCGTCTCCCCTGCACTGTCCGGCCCCCAGGTATCCCCTTGACCGGCGGGCTCCCCGAGTTAGAGCAAATGCAAACAGATGACCACAGCTGGTGCCCGGAGTGACCACCCACAATTCGCCCAGGATCACCCAAACCACTCGCATTTGGTCTAAACAATGATGCTTCTGGCTCCGAGGTCACTGCAAGTAAAATGGAAAAGAGAAAGCAACCACCTGTCTGGGGGTTCGGCGGCAGGAATACGCGGTGGTTTTATAACAAGGTTTTAGGTAGAGAAGAACACGGGCTGAGTCATGCGTGGACTCAGTGGGGGCCTCTGTTACCCATCAGCTGGGCCACGCTGGTCAAGGGCTCAACATCTCTCAGCCTCATTTTTCTCAAGAGCAAAAGAGCGATGCCGTGTTTCTTGGTCTTGGTGGTGGGCTGAGATGGTTGGGGAGAGCAAAGTACACATCCTGCCTATCTACAGTACATCAAACCGAGAAAAGGAGCATCTGACAGTGGAAGAAACAGGGTTTTGTAGGAATGACTTTCTGGGGCTGTCATGACGCTCCAGTGGGCACATAAAGCACTCACTTTAACGGGATTCCACTGCCTTCAATGCTCTCCTTCCTTCCCCTGCTCCTCTCCAGTGCCCTCTGCCCACTTGGGTCCAGAAGAGGCCTCCCCGAAGTTTCTCTAGGGGAATGAGAGCCAGAGCGGCCACCCAGAGTCCACCTACAGGGGCCCCTTAAAAGGCCGGTGCTCGGCATCTGGGGCCAGGTTCAGCAGTCACGGCTTCCCCAGGTCCTCCCAGGGGGGATGGGAAGGAAGGAGGCGCAGGGCAGAAGCGGGCAGAGGAGGAGTGGCTGGCAGCTTAATGAGACACAGCTGCATTTTAATGTACCTTCTTGCCATAAAGTGGGCCATGTCCTGCCTGGCACGGGGGTGGGGGGGGGTCTCTTCTGCTAATTAATCTATTGAGAGAGCAAAACTGCCATTGAAAATAGCAGACATAATTGAATCTCGCATTCATTTTTCTTTTGTTACACTGTGTAAAATGTGCATCTGTCATTACAAGGTCATTATGTTTATGGCAAGAATGTCAGCAGGCTCAGGAGCCTGTATTTCTAGGCTGGGTTCGGGGCCTGCTTGCCCTCCTGGGCTGCCCTGCGAGCTGTGGCCTGTCCCCACGACTTCCCGCAGAGGCAGAGGTGGCTCTGAGTTCAAACCCTGACTGCCACTGGCCAGCTGTGGGACTCTGCATAAACCACATAACTCTGCCAGTTCTGTTTCCTAATCTGCCAAGAGAAGAAAAGAAAACGAATCACCATCCATACTCTGGAGGGCTGCTGTGTGCACTGAACGAAACTGTCCACTGTCGGGAGCAGATGCTCCAGAAAATGGCAGCTAATGCTGTCACTGTCGTTTCGGGAAGCCAGCTTCTGCCAGGATCCTGAGGACAACAGATCCCAGAGGGGAGCAGCCAGGTCTCTTGATGGGTATTATCAGGGACCAGGTCAGGGATTAGGAATAAGCTGATGTGTCCACACCGCCAATCAGAGGCCAGAATGGCTGGAAACAAACAGTAGGACCTGCTCCTGGGTTTGACATAAGCCCTCAAATTTATGTCATCGATTTAGCCATCAGACTTAGCCACTGAAACACAGGACGCCTGGCTAAATGGAAATTTCAGGTTCCCCGACAGACAGGAAAGCCACAGACACCATGGACCCGCTTTTGATAAAGAGAGGCGACAAGGTGGGCTGCGGCGGGGAAGCAGACAGCTGACAACTCGCTTGCCTTCCACCCATCACCAAGGGGGCCGTGATTCTCCGGGGGTGGGGGGGCTGCTAACCAAAATGGACCAAAGGGCTCGGCCACACTACAACCACCGTCCTTCCCCACCGTGGTTCCCCAGCCTTGGGTGAAGGTCGAGATGGGAATCAGTACTTTGATAGCCCTAACTGCCCCTTGAAGTTCAGCAGGAAAGAAAGGGTGCACCCTGGCTAGAGAGGAATTTAGGACGTGTTTTAAGAGAATCACTACCCAGTGCTATCTGTCAGAGTGTGTGGAGGGAAGGAAGAGGAAGTATGTGGCTTTGAGCATTTATGGTCCTTCTTGATTGTCCTCGAAGGAGGAAGTGAGACTTCAATGAGGATCTCACTGAGCATGAATGACGGCCTGGCCGGTTCCTGGAGCGGTGCCAGGTCCAGCCGACTTGGAGACTCTCAAGACTGAAGCCAGGCTGGGGGCTACACAGGCAGGTGCAGGCAGAGCTCAGGTTCAGGGGAGGATTCAGGCAGCCAGGAGGGGCGCATGTGCAGAACACAACTGAATTCTCGAGGGCGACCCAGACAAAGGCCATCAAGGCAGGCCTGGCGACTTCATCTCCCCATTCAGAGCCATGTGCAGCTGCTAACAGCATCCAGCCAAGAGCTGCCCAGGAACCAAACTTCTATCGGACACGGACCACCGGCTTCCTGCCTCCCCCCACCGCCAGCAGAGACAGGAAAGGTGCCGAGGATGAGAGTGGCTCTGATATTTACTATTTGTTTGCATTGGGCAAGATACGTAATTTCCATGCCTTATTTTTCTTCTCTGTCAAACAGGAATAAAAATGATAGCACCCCGAGGACAGTGCAGTGAGCCTGTGGGAAGGGCTCTGTAAACAATAAAGAATAGCTGAGCACTGAGGGTTCTCGCTTCCCATTTCTGACCTGACTGCATCACTACCAAGCCTCATACCCCGGGACAGCTGCAACAGGGGCCAGGAGACAAAGGGTTTGTGGGGCAGGCCGCCTCCTCCAAGGTGGCCCAGGTAGATGGCCTACTTAAATCGTGCTTCAGGAAGTTTTCAGGCATCCTAAGTGGGTTAAAGCCCCAGAACACAAGCATCAGCTGACGAGAGCAGGGGTACCTTTCTGGCCTGGGCCTGGCACTCCTGGGGACCCAGCCTGATTGGGCCCAGTCCGCTGGGGAGCTGGGGGCTATGGGTGGGGGACATCATCCCTTCCTGTCACTACTGCTCTATGTGGCCCATTTACGAGGAAGTGGCTCTTTCATTAATCAAACATGCTAATAGCACCAAAACCTAAGGGACTTTCTAGCTTTTCCTTTCAGAACCAGGTTAGATACAACAGGTTCTGGCATCTTTTGATCTTCTGACCCAAATTACTTTTCTGGTACCAACTGTTTGAGATCCAGGCCAACAAGGAGGGAGAGTATGCGACCTGGAAACCTCTTGAGGCCCAGAGTAGAAGAATGGTGACTTTAATGAAGTTTCTCCCCCTGCTTTCCTCCCATCTCACCAGATGCCGGTGCTGAGAGCATGACGCCTGGGGTCATGGAGGGAGACTGGAGAAAAAACGATTTTCTCTGGGCTCTCCTTCATGCCTCTCCACACCACAAACACACCTGGTTTCCAAACATCTTGCTCCCTGACCTTCAATCTGCTTGCCAGCGGCAGCCAAGCCCAGGCCTGCCGTCCGCTCAGGCACTGTGCCACGCAGGCCTACTGGCCTCTGGCTCGGCCAGCCGTGCCCGCTGCCAGGGAAGCTGTGTGGTCAGGGATGGGGCTGGAGGCAGCAAGTGCTAAACGCTGCTCCAGAAATGCTGGGCTGGCCGGGGGTCTGGGGCTCAGGGCAAGAGCAGTGGCTCTTTGCCGGGCGGACGACTGACCGTCGTGGGCACGGGCATTTTAAACGACTCTGCGGCCTGGGCAGAGACATCACTCTGATGGATCGATCGTCCCCTCTTCTCTGGAGGGGCTGATTCTTGTCCCACTGGGTTCCATAACAAAGTCATGACTGTCTGGGGGCCACTGGGTCAGGCATCTTGACAGTGAGGTGGCTCAGCACCTGCTCTGTGCGGGGTCCTCTTCTGGAGGCTCACTGCATACGGAATAGGAGATGACGACACACTCCAACACAGTGATATGACTGACGGTTCCTGGGGGGGGTGGTATTCCAGAGAGTAGCATCCGGGTCAAACCCTGAGTGACAAGAGCGTGCCATCATGGAGGAGGAGCTGGAGGAGCCCTACAGAGGCTGAGCCATCATAAGCAGGGCAGAAGGGGGTATGAGGTGGGCGGAGAAAGCTCCGGAAGGGCCTAGAATGCTAGGGGAAGGAGCTGAACACTGACTGCTAGGGCTGCTGGGGGCTTCCAGCAGGGAACAGAGGAAAAGTAGTTTGCATTAAAAAAAATCCTACTAGCTACTGTGGGGGAGCAGGGAGGGAAGGGGATGGACAGACAGAAGCAAGGACCACGACAGATGTCTATGGCCTGTACTAGAGTGGTGGCAGTGGGGCTGGTCAGAGGGTATGGACTAATATTTTACGATAGGACTGTCTACTGGCTTTTCAGCATGTGAACTGAAAGAGGAAAGCAAGGATGACTCTTAGGTTTTTAACAGTTGGGGGGATGGTAATGGTGTCATTTTCTGAGAAGTCTGAGGAAAGAGAGTTCATGGAAAGAAGAGCAAGTATCTGGTTTTGCAGGCTAAATTTGCTTTGTGTCTTGGACATCAAATGGAGATGTCAACCCAACAGTTGGTATGGGAGTCGAGCTCAGTGGAATGGTTGTGCAGGGAGAGCTTTTCTGGGAGTCAGCAGAATGCGGCACCTAAGCCGTGGAACGAGTGAGCTCTGCAGGGCGGGGTGGTCTGCAGGGAATGCAAGGACAGACAGCTACCCAGAGCTCAGCCCTGGGACTTCCCAAGTTTAAAAGCCCAGGGAAGGAAGAGGGAATAGCCAGGGAGGCTGGAAGGATATGCCCCAAGCCATATTTGCCACCTCTGTGGAAAGCATTCCTGAAGGGTTGACAGGAAGGCATCATGAGGGAATTTAAAGGAATAAGGCACCCAGCTTCCCATCTGCAGTGACGCCCCTGACAGTGTGGTCAGGAACGGCAGATGGGAGAAAGAAGTGAGCAGAGGACTCCCGATATTTATACACACACCAGACAACTCCTGTTCTCATTTAATTCTCATCATAAACTTGAGAGGTATAGTAAACTGAAGACTTTCCGCTTTATAGACGAAGACATGGGCTACAGCACACGGCAGATTGGTAGCAGAGCCAGGATTTAAATTCAACTGCAGTTTTCTTTTTTTTTAGATTAATCTGAGAGAGACAGAGAGAGAGATGGAGCACACGAGCGAGTTGGGGTGGGGAGGGGCAGAAGGAGAGAGAGTCTCTCCAGACTTCCCACTGAGCAAAGAGCCCAATACAGGGCTTGATCTTACACCCTGAGATCGTGACCTGAGCTGAAATCAAGAGTCGGACACCTGACCAACCGTACCACCCAGGCGCCCCAGTTTCAATTCAGTTTTGCCATAAAATGTAACACACAGATTAAAGTGAATAAAATGGGGAACGCAAACGCCCTGTCATAAAGCAAGTGCTCATGCGGCCATCGGCAGGTGAAGAAACGGAATCCAGGAAGCCCGGAGAAGGCCCCTGCATAACTCTCCTGCCGATGCCAGCCCGGCCGGGTGCGAGCTTGCTTGCATTTAAAGGTTCTGTGCTCTCAACATTATGGCCTAGTTGTGCCTAATTCTGAACTTGACATAAGTAGACTTATACTGTGAATTCTTCTGACTTGCTTCTTTCACAAAGTGAGTCGACAGATGCACTACTTTTGCCTGTTTTTGATATTTATATAAATGAGATCATGCTGTGTGAACTCGGCGTTACCATGTTATTGAAATTTATTCATCGTTCCAATTGCTAAAGAGTGTCCCCATCTATAAACTGTTAAACCCTGAGGCCCAAAATGGTGTCACGTAGGTTAAAATCCCAAGTCAGTCAACCCAGACTTAATACCTAACCTCACTGCAGTTTCAACCCTCCAGGAATGTAACCTTTCACCGGTCAGTCAGGAATTTTCTGGTCAGCACCGATAAGGTTATATGTCACATGGGCCTTCATCCTCCAAAGGAAGGTGAGGTAATACACCTACTAAAACCCTTTTGTCCCCAGATGGAGGTGACCTCACCTGAAATAATCCTTCTTTCTATTTATGACTTCCTTGTCTTGCCTTTAACAGCCTTTCCCTTTCTGCAGCCCTCTGGCACTCCCCTCTACCTGGTGGATGCTTGTGTGTGTATTTCAAGATGGCAAAACTGCCTTTAAAATAACTGGACGATGATAACCCAATACTGACCAATATGCTTCAAATTCTATCTGGTCTTTACAAAGGGAAAGGTGTGTTAGCATTGACTGAATTGGAGTTAGTACCAAAACATAAAAAGCATGACACAAGCTTTTACTCTCAATCCAATCTTATTTTACTCAGGACTGTGTAACAGGAATATTTTTACCACCCTTTATGACTTGAATTCTTGTATAAGAGATCAATTTAACTTTGGTACTTGTGAAAAGGTCTTACAGACAGCAGAATTCAGTCAACACTCATAGGGAGCTCTGCTGAGATGTTACCAAGTACGACTTCCCCGCTTCTTGGCTTCTTGGCTTCAGCAAAGAGGACTTTTACTCTAGGGGATGCCCTTGGGACTCTCCACATACTCCCTCAGAGTACCCCCTCTCCGGTAGTGCCTTTGCTGTGGCTGGCATCTGTGTAAGAGAATTCGGGGGCCTGACTTGCCTCTGCCCAGACAGACCTTACAGGTTTGGTTCTTGTCTTTCCTTTCCTTCAACACTGTAGCACTCACTGGGCATACTTCTCCGGACAAATCTTCTTGCCTTTTTGACATTCCTGGTTTTGAACTTGGCTCTCTAGTTAGGCATGTGTTGGAAAGGCTCAGCCAGCAGCTCTTGCTCTCATCGCTAGAATTTCGAAGCTACAGTCTAGTGATTCTCAACCCTGGCTGTGCATCAGAAGCACCCGAGGAGTGAGTTAAAGATACAAGTCTCTGTGACTCTCAATTCAGCAGTCCTACCTAGGAGTGGCCTTGTCACCCCAACTCTGAAACCAGCCCCCCAGGACGATTCTCATGCTAAGCCGAGGTAAGAACCAGAGCTACACCCTGTTCCCTGGAAGGTTGGGCCCCTTTAATCTTCTTGCAAAAGCTAGGAAAGGCAAGTGAGTGGAGGTGTGGGGGCGGGCACTAGAGGGAAGGTGAGAAGAGCCCAAGGCAGAGCAAAGAAGTCATCAGATCTGCACTGGAAAAACACAATCAGATGGGTCAAATCGTCTGGTGCGGGTAAGAATCTCAGAGAAGGTGGGGAAAGCAGGGCGCTTAAAAGCTGTTAGTAGTTCCTGAACCCAGTTATGTGATTTTCCATTGCCTGAAAAGTCCTCATCATTGGGCAGATGTCCTTTTAATCTTGTTTTCTCTTCCAGTCTACATATTATTAGCTCTGCTTATCTTCAACGGCACCACTCCCTACTTTTATAAGACCTCTATTAACCTGAGCAGAAAGAACATTGTCCGACCCATATAATCAATACTCAGAGGACCAATAAAGCGTCATACACACTGGCAGGTCCCTGCTGCCTTAGATCATCGGGCAGACGTGGAGAAGAGGAAGGAGCTATGAGCAACCAGAGCAGAGTCAAAGATGAAGAGGTCTGGGGCAGACCTCAGAGGCCTTCTCTAGTAACAGCAGCGCCTGCCTGTGCTTTGTCCCGGGCCTTCCTCAGAGGACCCTGGCACTTCTGCCTCTGCCCTGTGGCATTCCATCTTCGATAGACTGATTCAGAAGTCTGATGGTGAACTAAGCCCATAAAGTCATTTAACAGAAAAAAATTTTAAACATACTGATCAGCTTCTAAGTTCATTCAAATAACCTCGAAGCCAAAGTTAGAAATGTGACCCAGAAAATAAACTTCTCACCTATCTGTATTATAACTTAGCTGACACAGAACCTAATGACTACCACTTAATGTACGCTTTGTGCTCTGCAAAGCATGTTATGTGCTCCATGTGCATTACACGTATGCATCATACACGTGCTACACACGTTATCGGGAGAGCCTCACACTCACCCCCAGTGCGGTATCATTACCCCAATTCGCAGGCAAAGGAGCTGAGCTTCAGAAATGTTCTGTGTGCTTCAGGGAGAGCCCTTCCTGGTGAGGGGCTGGGGCAGGGAGGACCCAGACTGACAGCCACATGACACTTTTCACCGTTAGCAGAACGGAATGACGAACTCGAGCCATAAACCCTGTTCTGCAGTAACTTTGCTTCTTAGCTCCTCCTGAGGTTCCTAAGTGCTCACTGAACACTGCCTTTCTTGATATTCTGGACTACAGAGTGTATTGACAGCCTCTTCGTATTCCAAAGTGAAGAGGAGGGGTGCAAGTGACAGCCAAGGGCCGTGTGAGGGCTGGCATGTCATACAGGTTGGAGCCCCAGCCTGGGCCACAATGACACGGACAGAAACAATCTGCAATAAGACGACAACATCCAGGTACTCTGTTGGCTCTGCTCTGGAAGCCCGGGGCCGGTCTGGCTTCTCAGAAGACCAAATCACTCTGATCAGGCCAAGGCTGATACGGCGAGCCAGATATGAACATGTGACAAACGAGGTGACTTATAGTTCACCAGAGCTGCCCGTCATTCGGCGAGCTCGGCTTGGCAAATATGATTGGCCCGAGAGCGGGGCTGTTCCCATACTGCACCCCCAGGGTTCTTTTCTCACCCACAGCACCAGACCCACATTAGAACAGAGCTTTGCCGACCAACTGACAAAATTCGCTTCACCATGAAAAGTGCATGCTTATTTAAACTGGGTGGCCTGTCTACAATCAACTATTTCAGATTTTTTGAGTGTTCAGAGCAGTGGAATCCACTAGTTCTTACCCCTCCTTCCCTCGATTATGGATGGCTAGTTCCTCGCCAATGCCCTCTTCCTCCTTGAAGCTCTCCCAGTCCAATTTGGACTTCTCTAGGGTGCTCATCTTCTGCTTCTTGGCTCCAATTTTCCCCAAAAGGCTGCTCATGCCACTTGATCTTTTTAACCTAGAGAAAGTGAAAAAAATGAAATGTGTATCACATAAGAACTATCAAGCTCTGTCAAATCAAATCCATGTCTTTTACTGGTTGGCACGGGGGCCCCTAGGTTTGGGCTATTTATCTTAACGGAAACCATTTTTGTACGTAGGGCACTTCCTGCCTGCTCTGGAGAGCACTCTAAGTAGACCGGGATTCGGATGCACTCTTCCCACCTACCAACTCTGACCGCTCCAAGGACCCAGGGAAAGGAAACCCTGCAGCCCTCTGCATGCTCTGTAGGACAGGTCTGTGCTCGCAGGCAGGGAGAAGCACAGCATGAGTCAGACACGACTTTGGAATCACATGCCTACGTTCATATTCCAGCTCTAACTGTGTGACTTCAGGCTACTGAACCGCATCTGCCCTGGCTTCCTATCACCTACCGAGTGAACAGTGACTCAGAGGGCTGCAGTGTATTTTCTTTTTTTTTTTTTTTTTAAAGATTTTATTTATTTATTTGACAGAGATCACAAGCAGGCAGAGAAGCAGGCAGAGAGAGAGAGGGGGAAGCAGGCTCCCCACTGAGCAGAGAGCCTGATGTGGGGCTCGATCCCAGGACCCTGAGATCATGACCTAAGCCGAAGACAGAGGCTTTAACCCACTGAGCCACCCAGGCGCCCATGCAGTGTATTTTCTATGTCAAGTGCTTTATGACAGCACCTGGCACGGAGTAAAGGTATAATAAATGCCAGCCACCCTGAGTCAGTCATCATTTGTGCCCTCAAACCCCAGGCAATGCTTGTAATAGAAAGAGAGACAGATCCCAACACTGATGGGCAAAAAGTCACAGTATCTCAAAAGGACTCTTAAGGTCAGTTTCTTTTCCACTCCTGTGAGTCAGAACCCTGGGTTTTCCCAGGAGGTGGAGAACATTCCTCACCCTGAAACAAGGGAATATATAGCCTGTGTTCCCCTTGCTGGTGACATGAGCATGGACTGTGGGAGAAACTCCACATGCCCAAGTTCAAGTCTTGGCAGGTCACATGTTTCCAGTCATTGTTAAATGCAGGAGGAAAAATAAGGAAAACAGAATGTACCTAGTTAGTAAGAAGGTGGTATTAGGGGAAAGAACTATGGAAGGGACATGGCCCTTGGTTTCTTTAGGAAACTAAAATTTGTCGTATGCCACTATGCAGGAAAGTTTGGAAGTGACTTCCTGTTTTCCTGGGAAACGTAAGAGAGTCAAACGTGTACAACTGTGAGCTAGCATCACAAGGCCTTCTGATAACATCAACAGTAATACCTTTCACTTGCCTACAATGCTAATTCTCGAGGTGCTTTATTCACGATTTTCTCACCGTCCTCTCACAATGGCCTATGAAGGAGGACCGCTGAGCTCTGGATAGCGGGAAGAGACTTTGAGGGGATCTAGTGTCACACTACCCCTTTTGGACCCCACCTCCCTGCAGCACAGGGCCAGTGAAGGATGCCCCGTTCCTGCCCCGGAGCGAGCAAACAGGCCAGTGTCCACACTGAACACACGACTCTCGGGGCTGAACCATGACCCTCCACACCCTCGTCCTATTCATGCTGGTCGGGAGGATGTCTGCTTCCCTGTTTGGGGCATTTCCCACCACACGCTGTTAGCTTAACACCGACTCAGAACAGGCTGGGCAGGCATCATCATTCTCATTTTGAGTTGGACAAATAAACAGAGTTCAGAGAGGTTAAATGACACAACAAAGGTCAAGCCAATAGAAAACGCGGAACCGGGACAAAGCAAGGTCTTTCTGACTCCCAGCCCGGTGCCCTGTGCTGTCTCACGACTAAGCTAGAACTCCTCGGAGATATTTCCTCACAGCTATTTTACCTTCCGGTTTGCTTAACAGTCTTCCACACGGCTCTCTATGAGCTTTCAGTCCACATCTTCTAAAAATTCGTTTGTAGATAACTCACTCCCTATACCAACCTCTCATCTAAGCGTGCGCACACACGCGCACACGCACGCACACACACACACAGGCTGTATTTACCAGCAGCAGAGCATGAGTGATGACAGAGAAACTCATTATGTGTCCCCTGCTCTCCCTGTTACAGCCTCTCGCCCGGAGAACTGCAGTCTCTCCACTGGTCTCCCTGACTTCTCTTCTGTCCCACACTCACTCACCTGCTCACCCTCACATCCCTTCCACATACTGTCATTAGGGTGATTTTTCTAGAACAGAAACCTTATCGTGTCTTTCTGCTTCAATGTGTCTTCCCTGACTCCTTATTTGCTCTTACAATGAAGACTACGCCCCTTCCCTTGTGAAGTTCTTCCTGATCTTCTCTTGCCACATCTACCCTTGACATCTAAGCATCAACCGTACAGTCCTGAACCTACAGTTCATCTCCCATTCATCTGGTCTTATCTCAGCCTAGAGGCCACTTCCTCCAGGAAGCCTCCTGGGACCCTGTCCCAATCTCTGGATGAGATGCCTCGCAGTGGTGTTTCTAGTGCACTCAGTCCTTCTCCCATTAGGCACCGATCCCTCCCTTAGCAGACGCTCAAGGACTCAGATTCCAGCTGCCGCCATACTGGCCAATTCTGTGTAAGTTCAGAGTCAGTGCCGACAAGATGCACCAAAAGCACACACCTTGAGGCTTTCCTCTGCTGCCTGCAGGGGCTCCTCTGACCCTGCCTAAAGTCAGAAGCACTGCCTGGGCAGGTGATGGGAGTTCATGGCATTGGGGCCACCCTCATGGAGGACAGGGGCTGTGGCTACAGAGCCCAGCCTCCTGTCCTCACTCAGTCAATTCTAAGGGGACCTCTGAATGCTTCTCAGAAGTTCTGGTGGCAAGGAACCCTTGCAGTCCTGGAAACACACTCTCGTATTGGCTTTCCCTCCTTCCCAACCTCACTCCCTCTACCTCCTCATGCCTACTTCCCAAGGACGGTTCCCAGTGAATGACCTACACTAACAGACTTACCTAAGGTTGTGCTCTGAAGGGAATCAACAAGATGCTTAGTAGCAACACTCTTTTCCCGTGTGTGCCCTCTCTCTCTGAGGGCACATAAGCTCTGGGTCCCCAAATCTCTCTAGAGCACATGGACTGAGTTGCACAACAGCAGGAATTCAATAATGTCACTCGGATCACGTAAGTAGAGGCAGAGAATCAGATTTCTGTAGTTTAAATGAAAGGTCTTCAGAACACTTTTAAATTGGGGGATCCTAAGGGGTGTAATTTCTATTTCCACTCATTCACCAATCAGCTCATAACAATCTAGAATTTCTGCTTTCACCCGGGCAGCCCCTTCGGTTCTGTACACCATCTCCCACTCCCAGCCTATAGCTCTGATGGTATTCCCAAATTATACCACCTTTCTGACAAAGCACTTCAAGAAGCCTAAGAAAATGATCTTTTGCTGCAAAGCAGTGAAGACAGTTCCAGAAAAGTAAAAAGCCATAAACCCCCATTGCCTTGTTCACCGCTAAACATCAGCAAATTGTCGCCAGTGCTCAGACACTTTAAGGGAAAGCTTCCGGGTCTGCCTTCATTGGCTCATGAACGTGGTTTGTGATTTCCTAATCTGACAGTCTCAAAAGCAAAATTACCTGTCTTGTTTGTATTTGAGGCTAAATCAAAGTGAATGACATATTCACAGCAGTAGCCAAAACATGTAGAGGCTCATCATGACTGAGAGCCCGTATTTCCTGGAACCTGGCATGTGGGGTCCCTGCAGGCTTTCCAGCGCTCACACTCAGCACCCCCTTCACATGGGGCTCCCGTGGCACAATCCTGGCATCACTCCATCACAGCTTTCTGGATGGCACATTTACCATGACCTTGGCCCTATCTCTGCCTTGAGGGTTCATCTATCGGGCATACAGGAAAGAGCACAGCTAAGAGCACTGCAGCGCTGCCCAGAGCTGCCAGAGAGGAGGGAGGCCAGCAGCACCAGCCTCCCCCAGGCCTCTGGCAGCTGTGGAGACGGGGAGGTCAGAATGCCAGGGGAGACCGCCCTGCTGTCAGCAGGAACTGGTGCATTTTGAGGCATCACCACAGGAGAACCCCAGATTTCTCTATTTTTTGGATCCTAAGCCACAAGGGCAAGGTACGACCAGAGAGTTGGCTTTGATAGACCACCCCCAACCCCCAGCCATGGATTTTCCGGTCTTGGGTCCAAGGTGTGGTGCGCTGTGCCACAGAAGCCCGCAGTGTTTCCTTCAGGAGACTCTTGTTCCACCTGTTATAAGGCAAAGTCCAAAGAAGCGCACCATCCACTTGCCCACTGGCAGATTCCATCCATAATGTTATACTCAGACATGGCCAGCACTTCGCTGCCTAGATGTTTCCAACATAACAATGGCATTTCAACCACCTCTTCCTGAAGGTCACAGTCCTCTACTGACCCAAGACTAAGCCTGTCCAAGCGGCATGGGCTCTGCTCGCCTCTGCTCTAAGCAGCAGGCTTTCATGCCACAAGAGCATGGCTGAGGGCAGTGGGCATGCTGGTGAAAAGAGGCTCCTACTAACACTTTTTTTTTTTTTAAGATTTTATTTATTTGAAAGAGAGAGAGAGAAGGAGCAGGTGGAAGGACAGAAGGTGAAGCAGGCTCTCTGCTGAGCAAGGAGCCTGATGTGGGACTGGATCCCAGGATCATGGCCTGAGCTGAAGGCAGACACTTAACCGACTGAGCTACCCGGGCGCCCCAAGCCCTTCTTTCTTACGTGTCTAGTCATCCCTCAATAAGCAATTATTGTCAATTTCCTTTCCACAGCACCCAGCCCAACGTTCTATGCTGCACTAGACACGAATGAAGACCTTACACACAAAGATTCAGGACTCAAAAAAGTAAAGGGACAAAAAGAAGGCAAAATAAAGTCATCTTTTTCCTTTCTGATTTACGGTGATAGTTTGCTAAAACTTCTACTCCTCTTTAGCACCAGAAATGTAAGTTTAACAAAATTCACTGCAACCAAGTGATAAACTCTATCCTGTGGAGTCTGTCAGAAAGATATTATAGTAACTTGTTGTCTTTGTT